CATCCTGTCAAAATTAATTCTTCGATGTTTTCACCGCATCCCCAACTAAGTAATGGTGAATGCTCTGCTATGTGCATGGCCTAGGACTTGGCAGTGACTTAGTTACCGCCCTGTTAAATGGGCATACCACCTCCCCCTTCTTTTCTTTTCTTCTTTGCAATGCAGACAGTGTCCTAGCTGCAAATGCTTCCAAACTTGTTTCCCCCACGCTTTGCTACCACCACTGGGCTGCACAGAAAGAAATGTTGGTAAAACCACACCGGGTCTTCCCTGTGTGGCAGGAGGAAAGACAGATGTTGACCACGGCCTCAGAGGAGGCTGGCAATGCGTTGGTTTTACAACCATGTTGTCAGGATCGAAGTTACCGGAGGCAGAGGGTGAATAGGACTGCTGGGTAGTGGTTTGTACAGCTCATCTGGCAGGGAATTATTTCAATTTCTGAAAGAATATTTTTTAAAATTACAGTAAGAACAGAACATGGTAGATCATATGGATGTTAAAATGGAAACCTACCGCCAAGTAAGGTGGGGTTATTTCACACTTCTGTTTGCCAAGCAAAGGTAGAAAAGAAAGAAAATTAAAAAAGAGCTGTGGTTTTCCGGTTAGAGGAGCCAGTTTTACCTTCCTGTGTACAACATGTAAAGGGACTCTCTGTATTACTCAGTTAAACCAGTCTCTAATTGAGTGAAAAGGCAAAGTACTGAAAAAAAAAAATAAAAAATGCCCAAGCCATCAAGCCTACAGTTGCAAAAAAAGATTGTGGTGTAACAGTGGATGAAGCGAGTATAACTGTGACCTAAGCACTGCCACTGATAGAGCTCTGCTAATTATATCTCTGGTGCCATAAATTCAGCTTTTGATGACTGTGAAGCAGAAAGTACCAGAGCCCTATCTACAGTACATTTGCTGGTGGTCCTCGTGTCACGTACGACTGCCCAGTGCAGCCTGCTCTCCAGCAACAGCCCAGTTCTCTAGCAAAAGCAAGGTCCAAAAATGAAGAGACTGAAAGCAAACACAGAGAGCAGCTGGGACAAGTTCACTCTGAAACGCTGTCATCCCACACTGTTCCAATCGAGTCCCCCTCCTGAACCAACTATACGATAATTTTGCACAGTGAGTAAAACGGATTAATGGTAAGATGCAGTGGTTCCCCACTACTCCTCATACCTGTATGGCGATGGTGGGTGAGTGCCAAACAAGGCACCTCTGCTCAAATACAGAATGCGTTTTCTGCCTTGAAAGCAGGGGACAGGTTCTGCTGGGAGAAAAATCAAACCAAGCTCTCAAACCATGCATTCTGTAAATGTTTATCCTGTTAGGAAAGAGCTGCAGGCACTAGTGGTCAGTGCCCTAGAGAGCCAGGGTGGCTGTTCCAGCTTTGGTGTGCTGGATAAATTTGGATAAATTCACTTTGGAAAGTATTTTGCCATCTGCAGAGCAAGAATGCTAAAAAAATGGGTGAGCTTTACTGTAATGAGCTTCTCCCCTTGGTTCCCCTGCTCCTCTAAAAGCTCTGCTATTCTCCTTCTCCCCCTCCACTTGAAAAAACAAACACTGAAACGTGCATATTTTACAAGAGCAGCTCAATTCCGCTGTACTCGAGTAGTAGGAGACTACAGCAAATGAAGGCAGCAGTTAGGGTTGGTATTCCAGAAAACAGTAAGAATATTTTAGCCACTAGATGGCAAAAATCACCAGAAGTTGCTGCAGAGCTTCTGTTGCACAGGCTTTATCTGGCCCCCATTATTCTGAATTCAAATTCAATCCTGTTTCCACCAGAAATACGTTTTGACAAATCCAATCTTTAAATGTCCAAGAGGGAGTCGTTTAACAAACACGCACAGTAAATTTGCTTCCAACCCTATTTTCAGTGAGACACCTGCAGGAGGCTCCATGCAGGGATGCCCAAAGGGAAGGCTGGTGCTCTGTCTTTAGCTGGAGCACTGTAACAGTCTTCCAGAATTTACATGAAAATGTCAGAAATGAGCAATTAAAAAAAAAGAAAAAAGAGGCAAATCGCAAGTTTTCAGTTGTGCCTGAATTATTTTTAACCCAGGTTTTCTAATTTGGCCACAGAACAAACAAACAAAAAATCAATTACTACCACAACGCCAAGCAGCATAATATACTGAGAAGATAAAATACTCTTTTAAAGTGTCCATGAGAGTGAGACATCCTCACTTTGGATGCTTCAGAAAAAAGCCCTTATCAATCCTATTAGAAAGTCTAACCCACCCAGAAGAACTAAGTAATAGGTACAGTATATACAAACTAGCACAGACAAAATTAAAACTCACTTGTATGTCTGCTACATTAGGCGCTTCCATTTAAATCCCCCAAAGCACTGAAATGATATAATTCACCGATATAATCAGAGCATCTAGCAGCAATGAGGAGCTAATCTATAGCACTGCTGCTGCAGCCAGCACATCCCCGCAGCCCAGAAGTCATAAAGGAATACCTGATGGATCCACGGGCCAAAATTTGATTTATTTCTTCTCTCCCACACATAATTTGGCACAATGGCATATTTGCTACTCCCTTAAGCCCCATAAGGATGAGGGATCCGATTCACAGATTTTAGAAAATTATTATAAAAATAAGGCAGGAAATGGCTTAAGTCTCTTTCAACGTACTTACGGACCGTGGCCTTGCCCCAGTTGGCAGCTAGGGAACTGGCTAGACAAATCTTTCATACAAGGAGCAAAAGGCCAGAGCTTTCTGAAAAGGCCATTAGAGACCATGCAGGGGGCAAATGAGTCTCTCTGCAGCTCATAGCCAGGTGCATTACTACACCAGAAGACACACCAGTCCTTACAGAGAGCCAGTAAAAAAAAGAGAAAAGCTTAATGTATGGCTTAAGATTATGAACTAGTCTGATAGCTCAGATGCCTGGAAACCAAAAAAAAAAAAAAAGGCAGCAAATTGTTTTTGTCCTTGATATATACTGAGAAAGCACTATTTTTCAGTATCCACTACAGCAATTTTGCCAGTCTTCGCATAACCTGAATCACCAACAGCAAAGGAAAAAAATTGATGGGAACAATAGATTAACACAGCGTGAGAACAGTATGTGCAGTTTGCAAGTGTCCCCTACTTTTTAAATTCCTCTATTTACCTATTTCAGGCATGAAGTTGTCAGCACGTTCCCCGCCTCCTATTGGAAAATCCACACTAAAAAAGCAAATTTTATTTGTTGTATACATTTAATTTTTCAAAATAAACCATTACAGCTTTTAGGTGAGAAAAAGCTCTCTCTGCTGCTGATACTCAATATGTCTTTTAATTTCAAGCTTTTAATTACCTTAGCTGGAAAGAATACTGTTTGTTTCCTTTGTGTTGTGAAAATGTAGTGTTTATCAAAATTTCACCCCAGACTCATTTTTTTGCAAAATGAGCCTTCAACATGTTTAAGTATTATTAGGACAACACTAAAAAATACTCAGCCCAGTATGTTTTCCCTGACTTATCTCAGGAGATTCACCACAACAAATCTAGTTGAAAGCTGAAAGAATCAAACAGCTCACTACTCATCTTTTCTGGCTGAAAGTCTTTTCCTGATATTTCTACAAATTCAGATTTGGAAGTGGATTGCAAGGCACTTATCACTGAGGGCAGGCCCAGCCTTTCCCCTCGCCTGGGCATTTTTCTTATGCCTGGCAAGGCAGCCTTGCTACTGGGGGAGCAAGCTCTGATTAGGAAACAGATGTCCAGCCTAAATTAACACAGGGCAATTAGGATCCTTCATCTGTCTCTTAAGACTCCCGAGATGACCCAAGAGATACAGGATTTCCCTACCCATCTGCAGTTGCACATGCCTGGGAAGTGATACGCATCCTTTTCTGGGCTCTCGGAGTAGCCAGGCTTCAGCCAGGGAGACTTTAGGTTCTCCATTAACAGGCTTTTCCCCTAGGCTCCCCCCTGGGGTGGACCGGGGCTCCATGGAGATCAAAGAACTGCTTCCTTCGGGGAACAACACACTCTAGACCTTGAGGAGATGATTTCCAAATCTGAAAAACCCCAAAATTGTACCACAGCCCTGGCTTATGTGTATACAAATGCCCTGCCAGCCTGCAAACTGGGAGCTAGAGCAAATTAGTAAGTTAAAATGCCTCTTAGAGACCATGCTCTTTTCTCTCCCATCACTTCTATGCTGGTATCTCTGCTGCTTTCTCAAGCAGCTTGCCAAAATCTGGACCAAAAAAATGGCTTGTCAAAACCCAGCAATCTGTCGTTACCCTTTCGTGCCCTTCTGCAGCTCTACATTGTAGGACCACTTAGTTGTGTAGGTCCATCCAGATAAACAGCATAACACCTCTTTTTGCTCATCTCCATGCTGTACTTCACAGCCCAGCACCGAGGCCTGATTTCACAGCATGTTTTATTCATGCTGTGCTTCTGGTGTGTCAAAAAACCCCTGGGAGCATCAGGGTTTCAAAGCCTTCATAGGCTCTCTGTACTGAGTCTTTTAAAGGAGAGCGAGCTGTACCGCATGGGGGTGCTCGGAAAGCATAGTATGGAGGACGCTGCGTAGCAGAGCTGCTCTAGCTTCAAGGGTGACTGAGGAGGAAAAATTTGCTAGTGCTGCGCTCAACATAGAGGGTGGAGCTGCTTTTGCTCTACCCTTCAGACTAGTGCTCTAAAACCCAAATCCCTTTGATCATCTTTATTTCACTCGGTTGACTTGTATCCATTGCCAAGGCGCAAGAACAGAGAAATGTCTGTTAACATTCACAGGCACAAATAAAGTGGGATTAAAAAAGAGGGTGCACATAAGGAGTAGTGCAATTCCTTGCTTCATGGAGCATTTTATTGCATTTCCTGATGGTAGCGGGTTGATGCTATTGTGCTTGTTAGCATGGTCAACTTCTATTCAAAGACTATTAAAGAGTTTTATCTCTATGTGGATCTTTGAGATTCTGAGAGACAGTTTTTCTCTAGATTCACAACCCATCCTTAGAAGCCTATACTAATAAAGTGCACTTGTTTCTGCCTCACAGCACACTGAAGGCAGCATTTGAGAGGCTCAAGCAACGTAAGTATTTACATCTTCCTTTCTGACCTGGGTAAGACAGGCACACAATGTTTCATCCTCTTCAGCCCTCTATTTCCAACTTTTTTATCCCAGTCTGTAGTTTGGAGAGCAGAGGAAAAGGACACTCACTGGGAGTCCTCCAAGGCTGGGCACTCAATCCACTCTCTGGTGGCAAAGAAAATGGCTTGTTCCTCAAGGTAGTTCTATCTGGATCAAGTCACAAAATATCAGCTCTGTGCCCTCTTCTACAAACCCTTGACATCAAAACAGCATGCTTTCTAAATGTGCCCAAGGCTGAATGAAAACCTTTCACACGTAGAAAATGCAACACCATCATAGCCAATAGGACAGCGTACCTGCCTATGGGCACCTGCTATTTAGATAAAAACGCCCTTTTGAAAAGCAGATACTGAACTAAGGTATTTTTAGAGCCTGGGTGGGGGAGCTCAACATTTCTGGAAAATATGGGGTTCCATTTCAGAGGCACCAAAGCCAACAAATGCAGAGAAGTTACCAGCCACTTCAAACAGCATCAGCCAGGTGCTCTGAAATTCAATCCATCTTTGCTGACCCTTGGAATTCTCAGCTTGCAACCTTGTCTAATGACATTTGTGCAAGGCTGGGCACAACTGGCAAGCAGCTCCCAAGAGCAATGACAATCCAGCAGCATAGCAGAGGGAAAGCAGACGCAGGTGGTGACGATGGAGGTCAGAGCTCCTTCCCTCCCTCTGCACCGCAACATCTGACCTCCAGACCCAGAAGGAAGAGGGGTGGCTGGAGTAAATGGAGCTCTGAAGAAACGTAGCTGGCTCTGCACTTGCAAGGCTGCTCTGAGCGCTCCAGTTCTGCAGCGAGGAGTCTTGCCCATGCAATTTGCAGGCGCTGTGACAGGACCTGCAATAAGCCCTTTTCAGGTTGTGCGAACCCTCAGCAACGTCAGTGCATGCAGCAACATAGAGAGGCCTTTTCTGAGGCTGCCCTGTTCATGCCAAGTCATACAGCAGCCACATCCCAGAAACATCTCCTGAAAAATGTGACTTTAAACATAAAGACCTTTCCCCACTGACTATATGAATTCTGATTTGCTTTAGAAATCGAAAGTGTTGGAAACTCTCATATCCAGCTGGCAGTAATGCTGAAGGATGAACTGAAAGGAATAGAGGAGTTTCGAGAAAGACAGAAGGAGCAAAGAAAAAAGGTGAGGAACTAGTGAAATGTTGAAACAGATTGGGTCAATGGTCCATGCTGATGACCTGTCTGCAGCCACAGGCTGTGAATGTGGCAAAAGATGATAAAACATGCCCAGTGTGCCCTGTTCACTCCATATACTAGGCTGTGGGAGAAAACCTCTTTCTGATCCCAGAATAAAGTAGCGCTCTGAACTCAGGAGACAGAGGCTTTAGTCACTTTTACTCTCTCTGGTGTAACCGCAGATACTATTATTATTATTCCTCTAAGAATGTAATCCTTCCTCTTCTCTTTTTTATACCCTTGCTAACTGGGTTTCTTTGGTATGATCCTGCATGATCTCTAACATACACGAAAATAAAGGGATAACACAAACATTTAAAAACATAAAAGCAAATGAATATCATGCTGAATGCAACACCAATATATGCTGAATGACAAATACATGGAATAAATAGCATCTAGTTGATGCTGTATAATAAAAATTTGAGTATATTTAAGGCCACTTCATCCCCTATGGACTTATCAAGCTCCAAGTCCCTTGAAAAAGTTGCTCTCAGTAGACAACAGTGGTCACTCATAACTTCTCTGGTTCCATGGGGTTGAAGATGAAGACGGGACTGTCACTTAACACTGAAAGCACTGATTGACAGAGGAGTAAAATAAAATATCCAGATCTTTGCTGATTTTAAACAAATGAAAATGTGTATGTCCAGTATCCAATGCCACAAAAATCTTGTGCCTACAACCCTGACACATAGGAACTCGGTACAGTAGAGAACTCCAAATATGAGAGTGGGTAAAACCAGTGCTGCTACTGAGATTTGAGGTCCACAGTGATCTGATGAAGCAAATAAGGCATATCAAGACCGACAGCGTGCACCCAGTTCATCAGCATTCGTATCCCTCCCACCACTTTGCCACTAGGATTGGCAAAGAGAGAGGCGCTGTCTCCTGTTGAAAATAATAA